CTAACAGTTAGATATTCTAAAGGTAGTTTTGATTTGTAATTATCCTAACAGTTAGATATTCTAAAGGTAGTTTTGATTTGTAATTATCCTAACAGTTAGATATTCTAAAGGTAGTTTTGATTTGTAAGTAACATAACAGTTAGATATTTTAAAGGTAGTTTTGATTTGTAAATAACATAACAGTTAGATATGACTATTTCAAATAGTGTTGGGTAATCAGCTCAACGAGGTTTGGTGGAAAGACTCCTTGAAACCAAACAACCAAAAATAATTACAGATAACTTCATAATTTGATTTTCCAAAGTTTTTTACTCTTAAAAAAAAATGGTTTAGCACAAATAAAATCGTCGAATTTTTGTCAGAACAAAAAACTTTGATATTCATGAACGCTCTTAACCTGTAACTTGGACCACTGAATTCGTCCTATGCAACGTGGAGCGTTTCGCCAGGCTAATTTAGCTCCATAGATCAGCTCTGTTTCTCGAAGCTCGTACGTGCCACGCCCCTCAGTTTCGGCTATAACTTCATTCCAACGTTCTTCGTGAGCACGGGACTTAAACCTGAAACGGAATGTTTATAGGTCTTGAATAAATGTACGCACTAAAAGATCGTGTTCAATGCCTTAACAATAATTATTAATTACTAAACCGAACTATGTTTAGGGAAGTCTGTGAAACTTATCATAAAATGCTGTACAATAAATAATCATGGTGTTGTACTTCAAGAATCAATATACCTTTTAATACTCCTATAATACTGGTCAAAAAACTGTTTTGCATGTTTAAGTATGTCTTCCTTTGAACGTGGGGAGCCAGGTTCTCTGATAGAGGGCGTTGCCGTCAATGATCCCATGCATGCAGAAGTACTACAAGGCATCGACTGAGAAAAGAAAGACACACAAAAAAAAATGTTCTAAATGTTTTCTTTTCACCCACAAAAATCACTTGTTATCTCGTGATGGATGTAGTAATCTACTTTTTAATCTCTACAAAATATTGTCTTGATAAATGAAAAAAATCTGTATAATGTTTAGAGCTGGAAATCTCTGCTTGATTTACTATATTTCTGTTAAAGACTACAGAACAGTGACTTTCAGCGTTTGGTGGAACCTCAAAGCATCTTCGTCTCTCACTTTTTCCTGAGGACGTTATTAATCACATCGATTGATTGTCTTTAGTGTTCTAATATCCAAACATCGTGTTCCAGTGACCACAACTATTATTCACCACCAGTACCCCAGTATCCACAGCTATTAGTCACCACCAGTACCTTAGTATCCACAGCTATTTGTCACCACCAGCACCCCAGTATCCATAACTATTTGTCACCACCAGTACCCCAGTATCCACAACTATTAGTCACCACCAGCACCCCAGTATCCACAACTATTAGTCACCACCAGCACCCCAGTATCCACAACTATTAGTCACCACCAGTACCCCAGTATCCACAACTATTTGTCACCACCAGCACCC